AGTGATGTGCTGAAACAAGTTTATTCTGTTCTTTATTTTTTGATAATAAATGGTTTTTTTAACATTTCAATTAAAAACAGATGCTAGCAATGATGGACATAGCACACAGAGTTTGCCCATAAAATAGTTTTAATGTATCAGAAGCAAAGGTTTATTGAAATGAAGTGTCTAGTGAATGTGCTCAATAACCCTTTGAAATGCAGTGTAACTGTCTCAGGGTCTTTTGAAAACCACGCCATGGGAATCAGATCTCATAAAGCTGCCTGAAATCATTCCCTGACACTAGGTATGAACCTGACTCTACTATGGTTTGTGTTTATGATCCCTGAGGATTCCCTGGGTTCACATTAAGTGCAGAGACACTGGGAGCTTTTCAATGCCTTCAGAATGTTTCCAACAAATTCTGCTCCTGGAAGGGTAACATTTTTCTCCCCACCAGCTACACGTGGACTCTATTGGATTCAGGAAAAAGGTCAGCTGGGATTTCGGGGTAGGGGGGTGGTGGGTCACCAAGGCCAAAGCAGTGTGGATCAATAAATGTCAGTGGGGCTTTGTCAGCTCTACAAAATCCCATAACTTGGCCCCAGAGATTTTTAGTGGAGATACTGATGGTTTGTACTGGTAAATCATTGTGATCAGGCTCATGGCTGCCAGAACAGTTTTTGCTGGTCCTTTTTGTGGTGTGCAGGGAGGCCAAACCATACTCAGAAATTCATGGTAATGAAGGAAAATCAGACTTTCAAAAGTGAGAAGATCCTTCCTGCTGTTGCTACGCTTTGCTGCACATATTGCAGTGTGAAATTTATTGCCTGTACTATTTCTTATTCCTTTTGTGGCTGTAAAGATTATTCAATGATGTTTTTGTTCCTTTAGCAAACAATGGCAAATGCAGCTCAGAACAGAAGTGGAACATTTCCCTGCTTCACTGCTTACGTGATAAGATAATTATTCCAAAAATATGCTCCCACTCTCAGGAAGGCGGGGGGAGCCGTTATGGTATTGGCTGGAGACAAGTTATCAAAAGTTATGAGAGAGACTGCTTTGTGTTTGGAGAGGCTGACAAAGTGGAAAGAGAAGACAGGTAAGACCATCTGCTGCTCACACCTGAATGAGAAATGGTAGATGACAGAAAATTTTGACTAACCCTGAGGTAAATCCAAGAAGTCTTCCCTCCTTCCATACACAGGGCCTTTTCTGTGTTTTCTGGTTGAGTGACAGCTGCACCACAAGGACTCACTCGTAGTACAGAGAAAAGAGAGAGGAGGTTTGGGGAAGGCCAGCAATGAAGCACTGCTCAGGTTGATGCCTGTTTGCACATGTTACATCTGTGCAATTCTAGAGAGCTCAAAATCTTTCAAACTGCTATTTTTTACTAAGAATTGCTGCTTGATTTCATTCTGTAGGTATGAATACTTTGTGAAAATGTTACCTACTCACAAAGTCACCCCCAGCTTTTATACACTGTTTGTCTTGCTCTCTCTCTCCCGAAGTTTTTTGAAACAAACTTTCAGCTTCAGGCAGAGTTCAGATGCTGAAACCAGGAATATTTTACTCCTGGCCTGAGTCTCTTGGCAGGATGCTGATTTTTCTGACTATTGCTAATCAGGGACAAACCCACTTACAGGAGATGATCAGCTCCCCACTGCTCTAAGTGGGATAATGCTGCTACACTGACCTTCACCAGCAGTCAGTGGCCAAGGATAAAACACCACAATAAAAAACTGATATCAGAGAGAGCTCAGCTGATGTTTCTGTTTGTGGTACAAAAAATCTCCAATTGCTTGGATTTTTCTTTAAAATAGTTTGCTGTGTCCATCCCCAACAGCTTTTTTCCCCTTTTCATTAGACGTATCTCAGATGCAGCCCCTGTAACCTGGCTTTTCTTTCTCACTCAGATGCTGTATCTTGGAGAAGTCAGTCCTGAAAATTGCTGGGTTTATATGTACATTATGATTTGAAAGCCAACCATGGTGTACATTAGGCCCCAGCTTTTTAATTATCAGTTCATAATGAAGGGCTCTCTTTGCAGTGAAAAAAATAATTTCCTGAAGGTTTCCAAGGTTCCCTGCAGGGTTTCCAAGGCTTGGAAGAAAATATAGATCATTTGACAATGAGTCTCTCTGCATTCACAGTGTAGAATGGAAAATTCCAGCTTTGCCTTAACCCCCTGATCCCAGAAAAGCAAGTAGCTATGCTGCAGCAAGCCGGGAGGCAATGCTGGCAGAGCAGGCCTCCCACACTGTGAGCAGGCACATGTCTTTCCATGTATATAAAGAGCATTAAAGCCAGAAATGGATGATTCAAACAGCAAATCCTAAAAAACTACAAAGAAAAATATGGATGGAAATGCACTCCATGTGATAAGTCAAAGTTCAGCTGTCTTAAGAGAAAATACAAAGTTTTCTTCTTTACGAAGATCTTCCTCTTCCCTGACCCTGTGTATCATCTAAGTGCTAACCTCCATTAAACTACTCAAGTAAGAAAACCAGAAAGTCAAAATCATAAAAGCCAAGTTAAACTGAGGAACCAATGCCAAAGTTTTACACTTGAAAATGCTCAGCTGCCAAACCTACCACCTTTGAGAGACTTTCTAATTGTTCCCAATTTTCCAAGCAAGATGTACAGACGCTGCCAGGGTATGCAGGCCTTATTACAATTGAGAAGCTTTGTATTTCCTAAAAATAAACAACAGAACTTCAGAGAAAGCTTCCCCAAAGTGCAGATTGGGTGAAACACCAAGAATGTGGTACAGGAGTTGTACAAAGATGACTCTAATTGCGATGCCAGCCTGAAGGGGGTTAATAACTCACTCCTTGAGAGACTCGTTTCCTTGCATTTTTACATCTAAACTGATCTTTTCTTCAGCAGAATTTAAGTCTTCATCTTTAGTTCATGCCTAAATTACTACCTGCTGGGCAAAAGGCCCCCATGGCCTCTGAGACAGCAGATACTGCCAGAGCAGGAGCTCCTGGGACTCAAGGAGGCCCGTGCTGCCTTGCAGGGAGAGGCAAAGCACAGGTAAAGCAAGCCCTGCACTCACTCTGCTGTGGTTGGGCAAGGGAGGTGCTGGCAGGTTTTAGCAGCAGGAGAAGGAATCAACCTTGAACTTTACCAGCCACCTCTCAGACACAGCCCTGGGACAGCCTAGGACCACAGAGCTCACGTGGTAAGTCCTATTTTTGAATTTCAGTATTAAAGCTTGGAGGTCTTCTCTCCTTCAAGGTCTTTTGGATGGGATTTCTGCTGCTCCTTTAATGACTGTCTCACCAACCAACCATTTGCTTCTGCATTTCGTATTAGCCAGCTGATCTTCTCTTTCCCCTCCACAGCCTGATCACTGCTACACTACAGAACATCTCCTCGCTTGGACAAAGCCAGTCCTGCACAAATCTTTTCAGATCTTTGTTTCAAAGTCAGTCTCCTCACAAGTCTTCCATGACTGTCATTAAAGATTTGATGACCCCATGTCCAGACAGCTTTTCTTTCCAATTTTCATCCCAATATCTCTTAACTCTCAGATTTCTCTCCAGCTCCATTATTTCAGGATTTCTACCATCATGTCTGCGCATCATGTCCTTCTCTGTATCATTTTCCATTAATTTCCACAATTCCACTATTGCCACTCTAAAAACAATATATTTCTGCTAAACCTGACAAATATTTATCCATCAGACAGAAAATATTTTAGAATTAAAAGAGAAAACAGTGTATTACAGCAGAACCTAGTTTTGGTATCTGGGCATGATCCTAGATTCAGTGTTAACAACGGAACTGTTGTATCAGGTATATTGTGCAGACTTTTTGCTTGTCTATTTGAAACATTAATTTTAGAAACAGAATATTCCCACATACTTTGTCCACACTTGCTGCTGGAAAGTGAATGTAGAGCATGTGCTCTGCCCACATCACATGCTTGAACATACACAGACCACAATTCCTGCAAAGAAAAAGGGTGCCCTTTACAAATTTCTTCATTTCTATCAATTTATGGGAACATCCTCCTGAGTTATTTCACTAGGGAGAGAATTCTACAGTCAGGGCACAGGGTTTAATTAGCTGCTATTAAGCCAGTTGGTAAGGAGTGAAACTGGCTAATCTGCATTCTGTGGTCAGCTGTTTCCCAAATTCCTTCTCCAAAGCCTTCTATATCCACTTATTATATACCAAATGTGCTTTGCTACTTGCAACACAAATAGGTTTTCAGCCTGTGTGTTATTATGTTCCAAACTGCAGATATGTAAAAATAACTGTTCTCCTCATTTCGGAGCTGTTCGATCCAAGCGGCTGGCATTTTTTTCCAAAATCTCCAGCTCTCCTTGTTCCTCTTTTCATTTAATTGCAATTGCAAACTAAACCACATTGCTCAGCTGAAGCAGCACAGGCTTCCCTCAGGAAAGGGCCTAAAGGCTTCTTGAGATAGGAGTGCTAGTGGAGGGTTGGAGTGAGACAAAGAGTTAAGAAATGCAAAAACACTCTAATCCAAAGGTCTGAATCCTGAGGTAGACTTGAGGAACAATTAATTTGCAAAGCATGTGCTGAGAATACACAATCTGCCCTGCATATGCTTTGAAGCACTGGATCAAAACACCTGTAATAAAGGATTTAAATTGTTCCTGGAGGTTTGAAAGGCTAATACATGCCTTGCCACAGCTCACAGCTCCGTGGCCCTCCAAGTGATAGGGGCATTCTGTATCTTAATAGCAGGACTTAGAGCCAATTCACAGGTTACTCATTTCTGTCCTAAATCCAATATTGCAAGCTGCAGCTTATTTTATGTGACACACGACTGTCATTCCTCCACAAAGAGCCTTGTCACATTTCCATTCCTTGCACAGGCAGTCCCATTTTCAGTCTGCTTCTTTCAATGGGAAATGCACCATCACTAAGATCAGGAGTCCAGCTGTACTGCTGTTCTACTCCCTACTCAAAATTTTGCAGCAGAGGGTCTATAATAATAAGAAAAAATCCACATCTTACAGAAAAGGTCAGCATGAACTTACGTAGTTTGATGCAAGATCTGGATGCAGATAATCAATTCCTGCAGTAAGACAATGACAGAACAGAAAACAAAGGTTAAGAGTTTCAAAGAAGATTTTCTAATGGTCACAGAACAAGATTCCTTCACAACCAGAGGAAAATAATCATGGCAGGTAATGCAATTGATTGAAGTGAGATTCCAGTTTTGAAATGTGGACTTTTCAATCATTTATGTCAAAATCCAGATGCCATTTGAAAAAGTGAGCTGAATGACAAAGTTTACTGTTTTGTAGACTAGATCATATTTATTTATAAGGATTAGTTTAAATCACAATTTATCTTTGTTTTTTTGACAAAACATGAGTTTTGCCATCTCAAAGCATAACAAAACTAATAAGATTGGTAAGCACTGGATCAGGACAGGATAGAAAGCCAAGTATTTTTAACAACTGCAAACTAAGGAGAAAATTACCTAGGGTAGACTTGGGGTGATCACTAAGGCAAACATTTCAGATTATATGCATGAAAGAGAACTTTTAATATTGGATTAAACCATTTTAGCAAGTATCTGTGAATAGGCTCCACATTTTGGTAGCATGCTAAAGATTCTAACAGAGCACTGGTGTGTAATATAGTCTATTGCATGGCATCTTTCTACAGGTGGCAAATGTACAAATCCCAGTGGGTGGTGTAACAGAGGTAGCAGACCTACACTCAGCTTGGATAAGATAACCTATTACATAGCCAGTTAAAACATACAAAGTAATGGCCACCGATCTCATACTACATTTTCATCATCACCACTTGTTTTTCCAACCACCTCCCCATTACATGCTCTGTTTTATTTGCAAGGAGATATGCCATATTATCATAGTTATTCTGATGGAAAGATTACTTCTCATTTTGTAGAGACCTTAGCACTAGATTTGCACTAGGAGACCCGATTACTGATCCAAATGGTAGATGGACAATAAAAACCTCTATGAAGAACCCTGCTATTCAGGCTGTGTTTTTTAGAGTTACTAGAAACAAATTCTAGGGCAAATTCCTCCCTTCTCTAAAAGCTCTATCTGATGGACCATCAGTTTTATCGACGCAAAGCGGTTTGCCATCGTTCCCATCACAGTCATGCCTTGCTAATCTGAAAGCCAAGTCCTGCCTCTGTGAGATCAGTGAAATTGTGACACAAGAGACCATCTCTCAGATGAGACTGATCTTTCACCAATACACAAATCAGGTTTCTCAAGGCCTCACCCAACCTGGCCCTGAATGCTGGCCACAACCTCCCTTGGCAACCTGTTACAGCATCTCACCACCCTGATAGCAAAGAATTTCTTCCTAATATCCACATGTCTGAGTTTACTTTCTTACTTGCACAACACCTTGCCAAAGGAATAAGCAGGTGAGGAACAGAAATAAGTGAAGACAGATCTCGGTTGACCCTAGAAAACATATGTGGATACAGACGTTTTATTTATTTTTAATATTATTCAGCTCCATTAAATGAAAATATTCAAATTTTTTTCAAAAAAAGAGTAGTGAGAGAGTGCATGGAATTCCTGTACTTCAGCAAGACCCCATAAGTAGAAGAGCTGTAACTTCAGCTGTACCTTTTATCTTCATCTTTCCTGAACTTAGTCTGAAACTAGTAACATATCTAATATGCAGATCTTCATTGACAATCAGCATGAAAGTTTAATCATTTCAGCTATCAAGGGTGACTTTGAAAATAATGTAATCAAAAAAACATTTTTTTAAATATTTTTTGCACAGCAACTTCATCTTCCAGTCAGTGCCTACAGAAGTAAAGGGGAGTTTTTCCTTAGGTTTGATGGCCATTACAGTGTGCCCTGGAATATATCAAAGTGATAATTGCAAACTACTTCAATGTTTGGATACCCATTCTTCAGTATATTTCTGTATATTTGTATCTGAGTATCTTTGTATATTTTCCCTGAAGATCTCAAAGAATTTATGGAGGCTGGTAGTCTCCCCATTACAAGCAATCAATGACTATTTCTTAATCTTTATTTTTAACTTCAATTACATGAACAAAAGTCTACTTAAAAGTATTAAATTAGCACTCAGTCTTCACTTACCATCATCCATAATTCCTATGGTTACTCCCTTCCCTGTGTATCCCAGCTCCCATGCTTCAGCTACATTAAGGTCAAGTCCAGGAGTCCCATCTGCTTGACCAGTGTTAATCTAATACATCAGTAAAAAAAAAAAAAAAAAGCTTTTTTTACTTGACTGACATATTTCCACAGCCACTGTTTTTTTTTTTTTCCTTTATGTCTCTGCATGAATCTTTGGTACAGAAATATATTCCATATGTTTTCAGAGTACACATCTGTCCATAATCATATCTACTGCAATAATGCAGCTGTAAAAAAAAAAACCAAAACAAACAAACAAACAAAAAAAAAAAACCTGTAAAAAAACCAACACTGGAAAAATTAAATTTTTTGAAGTTTATAAGATTTGGTTAAACACTGAATCTTTTGGACCCCAAAAAAGGACTTTTCTACTTAACATGTCGGCCAGTGGGTCAAACCTGCAAAAAAGTTAGAGCAGGTGATTTTACAAAGGACTTTTTTATGAGCAAGAAATTATTTCTTCTTGAAAGCAGGGATCTACTGTATAGCTTCCTATATTTTTGTTACTTTTATCACTGCAACATTTTGATTAACTACCAGAAAATAAGTGAATTAATTCTCATTTTAGTTTGGCTTGTCAAGGATAAAATCCCATCCATGCTAATTTGCCCCCAGTTCATTACAAAAAAAAACCTGCAGCCATACTGGATGGATTCATGAAACTTAAGAAATGGATTAAAAGGAAGAAACATTACTCTTAAGAAAAAATACCCTTCTTACATTAATAAGGCAGTACTGCATTTACTGAGTATTTCATCATAAATATGCTGCAACAATAAAACTGACCAGAATTACTTTATCAACTTTTTAAATAAAAAAATAATTTCACTTCGAAGTAAAACTTTTCTTTCATGACTAAAAACTTCTCCCTATAAAAATATGACACAGAAAAACTGAAACAATTTAGCAAAATATGAATCTCCTTTGACATTAGCTTAAGCTCATTCAAATTCGTCAGTTTTCAGCTGTTCTGTTTTTGACAAAAGAAATTATACTCAAATTTCCATAAGAAAAGAAAAGCTTTAAATTTGCTAGCAAATACATTATGACCTTTTTTAATAATCCCATAACAATATTTTACCTGGCAACATCTCAAAGACATGATTCATACGCAGTTCTAGAGGTCACATCAGCACACCAGCAACGCCCACAAGACATCAATACAGCTCTCTTTCAAGCCTTCTAAGGATCCTTCCATTGACTGAAATGAAATTTATCTCTTGAAATGTGCTGGATCTTCCCAATATAAAAGGGGTACAATTAAAACCAACACAACAGAGCCTTGGATCCATTCCCAAGTCTTGCTTTTGGAAAGAACTGTTGGAAAACACTGCAACCGGACAGAATGGCTTGAATGACAATTATTTAGTTATGATAACTGTGATTTTCTCTCAAAACTTACCAGGTACCACTGCTTTGTAAATAAAGGATCATTCATGTTGATGTCAATGTCATTGATGTCTCTATATCCTCGCTTCCTCCTGATGAAGCCCTCCTGTTGCACAGCTTTCCTCACCTGGAAGGGTTAATTTTTACATCTTTAGCTCAGCATCCTTGACACACATAAAAAGCATTTTTTAGACTTCTTTTAAGGAGAGATAAGGGTTACAAACACACACTAGTTGTGTTTGTGTCATTCATTTGCAACTTCTAAAATAGGGACTGATTCCAGTCAGAATTTACAAAGAGGCAGAAAGCTCCAGGACTACTGCAACAGCTGTGAGGGGAAGAGACTCCCCCAGAGTGTCCTCTCTGGAGAAAAACTCAGCTTGAACATGTTTTAGACATCAAACAATCAGAATAAGAGCGAGCCCCTCTACAGGAATCATTATTGTCATGAGTCTTCTTGCCATAGTTTTTCATTGCCACCAAAATAGAAGCTAAAATTATTTAACTAATTCCAAATATGTCACAGCTCCAAGCTGTAGACATTTGACAAAATGAGGAAGCAGATCTCAACCACATTTCTACTTTTTCAGGTTTTTCTCCAGGGCATTACCAGATCATTAGAAAAGCTTTCCTGCCTGAGAGGGACCAATGTGATTATTTATGCCTCAACGTTATACATGAGGCACAGGGTTCCTTTGGGGCTTGCAGCACTCACGCTCCATCTGCCGAGCTGACGCTGACAGAGCGCCCGGGGTTCTTGCAGTAACGCTGTCCCTGTTCTCTGTTCTTTCTCTGTCTCTCTTTTTTATCCCCTCTCTGCTCTCCTCTCTATCCCCCTTTGGTAGGAACACCTACCCTTCTTTATTAGTAAAACAGTTCCCAGGTATAATATCACTGTGTTTGTGCTTTGTTTTCATCTGAGAAGTTCAACAACAGAATTCACAGAATGACTAGGCTGGAAGATCATCCAAGGTCATCGAGTCCAACCCATGCCCTAACACCTCAACTAGACCATGGCACCTATTGCCACATCCAGTCTTTTTCTAAACACCTCCAGGGATGGTGACTCCACCACCTCCCCAGGCAGACCATTCCAATACTTTGTTATTTCTTCCATAAAAAGCTTTTTCCTGATATCCAACTTATATTTCCCTTGGCACATCTTGAAATTGTATCTTCTCGTTCTGTCAGTTGCTGCCTGGAGAAAGAGACCGACCCCAACTGGCTACAATCACCTTTCAAGGAGCTATAGAGAGTGATGAGGTCAACCTTGAGTCTCCTTTTCTCCAGGCTAAACCACCCCAGCTCCCTCAGCTGTTCCTCACAGAGCTTGTGTTCCAAGCTCAAGCATCTCAACGTCCTTCAGATCTATCAAAAAAATCCCCCTGACTCCCCTTTTTACAATGGGATGGGACACTGCCAAAGAAATTTTCTGGGAGAAAAAAATCCAGTTCTGTGAGCCTTAATCATACTTCTGAGGCTCTCAAAACTGTCTTGTAGAGTGATCTACTTTCATGGATTATCCTTGCAATAAATAAGCGATAAATAACTATACCGGCAAGAAAAACTATATGGCAAAAAAACCACTAAACTGACCACACTGGCTGAAGATAGGATATGAAAATACAGGTTATAAACCACAAGTTGTCACAGTTTTTTAGAAATCCTTTCCTTTGTGCACTGCAAATCCACAAGACATTTAAGGAAGCACTGTAGAATATAAGAAAAGTTAAACACACAAATATGTTTGGAGGCAAGAACTTCAAATGTCAGACCATAATCACCTTATTTGTACCCATGTAAAAGAGCATTCCTGAAGGAGACTACTCAGTGGCTCTAACTGGAACTGTAACATGTCCTAACAAATTCACAGACCTTGCAAAAGGTGCTGTCAGCTTTGGCATACTCATTTCGTACTCTTCAGCCTAACACCTGGAAACAAGATAGCATGAAGAGTACCAACATTTAATTGTAAAAAAAAAAAAGACGAAAAAAAGAAGAAAATCTAGCCTTCTTGATCAAAGAGCAATGTTTAAAACCATTAAGGACATGTTTATGTGCAGCAAGAAGGCTGTTAAGACCCCCTAACATTTACTTAGGTGTGCTCTTGAAAAGAATCCATGGTTATTAAATAAATCTAATAACTCAGAGAACCACTTCTGCACGTGTGACTTTGGCATTTCAGATTAAAAATGCATACATATGAGTTACACTGCTGTGTCATAGCAACTTTATACATACGGTGTCAGTCAAAATCAACAGAGGAGAAATTCATCCAAAGGTTCAATCAGATCTTAAGACAGTTGAATCATTCTTGGAGGCGTCTTTCTGTCTCAGTTAATTAAAGCTTGAGCATAAAAGACAGTGCTCAGTGAGGTGTCTAAGACAGAGATGAAACTGGGATCTAACTGATGGGGGGTAAAAGCTTTTTTTCCTTACAGCTATATTGTTTGATTAGAACCCCAAAAACCTTATACCAACTCACAATGAGCAGGATGGGGCACAGCATGGCCTGAAAAGGCAGTGTCAATGGTTTCTAACAATATACTTGTAGGAATTTTAACTCCTTAACTAAAGGCACCAAATGCTAAAATACTGAATTGGTGTTCATTTATAAGTGTGTTCCTAATACTTGTGCAGGTTCATTAAAAGTGGAACTGATTGAAAGTAAAGAAAAAACCTAACATGAAATAAACTGGTAAGAGGACAGTGACTAAGCAGGACCCATAGAAGGTGTACTTTGTGGCACCAGGTCGCTGTACACAGTAGAGAAAGGTATAAGCACAGTGTTTGACAGCTCTGAGATAAAGCTCAGTGATGCCATGGAGACAGAGCAATCACCTGTCACTCTGCCTCCCCCCTCCCCAGTCTCACCCCTGCCTCTCTGCTTGCCACTGCAAACCCCGAGCTGTCACCACAGAACATAATTAGGAACAGAAGACAAGCCTCATGCAGAGGGATGCCAGAGAAAAAGATTTCAGGTGTTTGTGCTCCCACGTAAGCTTGCTGGCTCTGCAGGACCTGCCTGTATTTAGGCACTGAATTAGGATTAACTACAAAAGGATTTCTACTAATTAAAAAGCAATGCTGGCTTGTCTTTTAAGACAACAGAGAGGAAGAGGGGAAGCAATTTTCAGAAATAGCACAGGCTGTTTTTCCTCCTCAGTATCATCTTGTTTGTCTGATTTGTTCCATCTTCACAATACAACGTAATGTATTTTTTGTACAACATTATAATTTCCTGGGACAAGGAAATACACTCCTCAAAGATGCATAATCTTAACTGAACTGAAACCACTCTGTGGGCTGTTTTCTGAATGTTTCACTTGGAGAAAGGGCATACAGGATGTCACCACCCACAGACAGAACAGTCTCAGAAACTCTGGCACCTCTTTTTCACCACTAAAACAAAGCGGGTTTCCTCATATTTGCAAATGACAGTAAGTCATACAATTGAAGCCAGAAAAGATTAGGCATTTCTGTCAGAAAAACACTTGAAATTTTTGGAAAAGGTCTAGGCAGCTTTTTCCATGAGCTACAAATTGCCTCAGTCAGTTGCCTTGTAGTGTGATCTTAACCAGCACAAAGAAAGAACTTGCCTTTATCCTCACAAAGTTGTGTTTAGAAAGCAGTAAGCCCAAGAACAGGTAACATCCATGTACTCCAGAAAAAAAGCTCCCCAAAGAACAAACTTGGAAAATGATAATGCAAATCCAGTGATCTGAGTGGAAAACTCCCCATTTAGGGCTGCACACAGTTGGCTCAGCAAAATCCTTGTCTTCTTGCCAACTGAGTACCTACATTAGAAAAATGCTTTTTTCTTTTTTTTTTTTGTTTCCCAAGAAGGAAATTTCTGCTTTCATATCTAGTCTAGATCAGGAGAGGGACTGCATCTGATTCTGCTATTTCATGGTTTTCTTCTGAAAGAAGAGTAGGCCTCCCCCAGACACCAGTAATACAAAGGCATTAAGTACCACATCAAGGTTTCAAAAACACTTGCAGGAGAGAACCTGCATGTCCAACAGTAGAAAAGTACTGGAAAACATTCTCATCTTGTAACATCCAAAACCCCATCTGCTTGTGTGACATTCAGACCTGGAACCCAGCCCTCAATCCCACGCAAAATGCAACCTCATACCAGCTTTTAAATCTTTGTTTCTCCAACTGAAGCAGAAAAAGCAGCATCCATAGGACTCAGGCTTTTGATAACAGTCACTAAATGATTCAAGCCTGTGAAGTATGATATTTATTAGAACCTAGTGAAACAGTAAGATTTTCTTACAGAAATAGCATGAATTTTAACATCTCAAAATTAGGCTTATTTATCTACAATAACAGCCTTTTGTTTATTTCATTCTTAAATAATTTATTCCTTTTTCATTCGGATACAAGTTTAAGTACAGATCAGAACCTGAGCATCTACTTTTATTAGCATAGGACTAAATGATGAAAAAGTTACTAGCTGTGCTGCGAGCAGAATGAAGGTCATGTATCAAAGGTAGCCCACAGATGGCTTTCTTTACAATGAAAAAAGGGTTTCAAGTATTGATTTTTACTATACTTGTGCTTATGCAAGGTGCATACAGTAATATGGATGATAATAAACCAGCAGGATACTGGATGCAAAACCAATTAACAAAATAATCAATTGACTGCAGTACTGCTCTGGAAGGGCCAGGAATTGCAGCACTCTACTGTGCTCTCTGCTCCCAGGAATGCCAAGACAATCAAGTTCCCCATTTTAAAGGAACAGGGTTAATTGCACTGATGAGATCCTGCAGTTAAATGAGTCTGTTATATCGAACATAAATGACAGATTTACTAAATTATACCAGTGGGTGTACAAAAGTGGAACAGTACCCACAACTTGAACCTCAAATACCAAGAACTTCAAAGCAGGAGAATTTGAATCAAATTCCAGAGGAAGAAGGCAGTCCCAACTTGCCTATTTGATGATATCAAATAGGCAAGTTGGAGGATTTGGGGGGAAAAAACCAGCCAAACAGTAAACACAGCAGTGAGCTGATCGATCAGGGGAAGTAATGGTTCTTTTTTCTCTAAAGCCTCAGGATCAATACAGGTCTGCTCCTGAAGGTGAAGTGAAAAGTGGAAACTGATAGCCTGTAT